TCGCACCATGACTGGCTCATCTCCTCCCCAAGACCCCTCTGCAAGGGGATCTCCAGTGGCCTACTAATGGGCTTTGGGTCTCCACTCTGCACTCCCCCCATCATTCACTATGGTAAGATTTTTTGTTCTGATGATGGACAGGCACCATTCTCTGGCTGAAAGCAAAGAACACCAAAAAGACGTTGACTTGTGTTTTACTTATTACACAAAAGAATTTGTGTGTCTCATGATGAATTATGAACATTATTTTTTAAATGGGAATTCCAGAACATTTCATTGAGCTTATGTAGGACATGTACATAGATTAAGAGGTAGTTGTTCAAACAGAACAAGTGGCACTTCATGTTTAAAATTAAGAAAAGTATGTATCAGGGTTGTATCATTTCACCATACTTTTTAAATCTGCATAAGGAGAAAATAATCTGAGAATCTGGACTATATGGAAAAGAATGTGGCATCAGAATAGGAAGACTGTGATAAGCAGATAAAAAAACTTTGCTGGCTGAAAGTGATGAGGGCATCTGATGAAGGTCAAAGAATATAACCTTCAGTATGGATTATACTTTAACACAATGAGAATCAAAGTCTTTACAATTGGACTAATAGGCAAAATCAAAATAAACATTCACAATGTCCCTGGAAGCACAGCCAATAAATTAAGTGATATATTACATTGAGCAAATGTGCTGCAAAAGACCTCTTTTTAAGGTAAAAAAGCAAAGGAAATGTTACTTTGCAAACTAAGGTGCACCATACCCAAGCCACAGTATTTTCAATCACCTTGTATACATGTTAGACATTAAATAATGAAGAACAAAGAATTGATGCCACTGAATTGCAGTTTGGTAAAGAATACTGACTATACCATGTATTTCCAGAAGAATAAACAACTTTGTGTCTTAGAAATACAGGCTGAATACTCTTCAGGGGCCTGGATAATGAGGTCTCAAGTACATCGGACATGTTATTATAGGGACGAGTCCCTAGAAAAGAACATCATGCTTCTTAAAATAGAGAGTCAATGAAAAAGAGAGAGACCCTCAATGAGATGGATTGACACTGGCTGCAACAATGAGCTCTACCATAGCAGTGACTGTGGTGCAGGCTTGGGTAGTGTTGTACACAGGGTCACTGTGTTAGTCTGGGTACTTTAAAGAAACAAATCCACAGCAACTCATGTATAAGAGAGAGTTTTATATAAAGGTTAAGTGTGCATCAAGAAAGCATCCCATCCCAGTGCTGCCCAAGCCCACAAGTCCACCATTATTAACCCATTAACCCATATGTCCAACATCAATCCACAAAGTCCTCCTCCATCTTACAAAACAGACACAATGATGCTGACTGCAGGAGGAAAGCCAAGTCAGTGAATGTGTAAGCATCTCAGGGCTCACAGGGGTCTCCACACGGGTGCTCCAGCACCCAGGGCTGCATCGGGGTAGGTCCATGTGGCTTCTCCTTGGGGATATCTTATAGGAAGTCAGCCTTGCAAGCTGAAGCAGGGCACTGCTAAGGCAGCTGCACCCTGGTCTGACCATCACAAAGCAAGAGACCGGAGAACTAGAAAGGCAAGGCTCACCGAGCCATTTGTCCATCCTCCTTTCAATTAACCCACATGTGTTTATTGGCCAGGTTGGCACAATAAACTTGCTACCTCAGTCACTATGAGCCAGACCAACTGAATAGCACTTTAACACCACTACCACCACCACGACAGTCAGGTATAATTTAGATACCAAAGTCTACAGCAACAGCAATATACCAAGCAGACATATACTCATGATCCTTCTGTGAGGGAGATAAATAATAGCATAATAAACCAGTAAAGATTCCCAACGTATTAGATAATATAAATGTTAAAAGTAAGCAAAGAATGAAGGCATGAACAAGTTAAACAGTGAAGTTTATAGATAGGATGGCCTATGAAGGCTTCATCATAGAGTTGACTGAATAAGATAAGGAAACTTGCCCGAAGATATATAAAGGGATGTAGAGTAGGGGCTTGAGATGAGAGCAAGTCTGTATTGTTCATGAAAGACTACAAAGACTAGTGTGGCTGTAATTCAATGAGCAAG